ATGTGGGGAATGATAATGGCAGGAGAGAGAGGCGGAGGAGGGTGGAGGGAGGACAAAGCAGCAGGAAATGAAGGAGAGCAAGAGAGTGAAAGAGGAAGGGACCAGGGAGGAGGAAGCAGGGGAGAGGAGGGTGGGGTGGGGGAGGGAAAGGGAGGAGGAGAAGGAAGAGGAGAAAGAGGGTGAGGAGGAGTGTCGGGGAGACCGTTTGCATCCTGAGTGTTAGCAAAACTCCTGGAATGGAGGTGTCTTCGATTTCAGGCGTGCAAGCTGCATGTTGCATTCTCAAAGGGGACCGCTCGGGGGACTTATGAGGGCCAGTTGGGCGTCTACTGGGGGACTCTTGCGGGCTTCTTGTGAGAATGTGGGGGCCGTTTGTGGACGGCCGGGATGCTCTAGGGGCCACCTTGGCGCCGAAGGCGATCGGAGGGCCGCTTGGTGGGCGCTTGGGGGGGCCTCTTTTGGGCCTGGGGCCCGCTTGAAGCATTTTTGGGCCGTCTTGGGCGCCTCTTGGGCCAGCTGGGGGCCATCTTGGATGCTGGGGTGCCCTCTTGGGGGCCTCGTCGGCGGCCTTGGGACGCTCTTGGGGCCGGTCGGAACCGCCTGCCGCCTGGAACGATGGCGGGTCAAAAATATGATTTTGCCAAACATTTCCGTATTCTTTATTGAAGGCATGGGGCGATATTTCCCGCCCGCGGCCCTCGACGGGGTTTCTCTTGGAATTGTCTTGTGGCGTTTGGGGGGCTTGTTGGGCCGTCTTGAAGAGTCGTGCTGGAACAGTCTGGAAACCATCTGGGACGTCCTAAATTTTACCATGGGTCCTGGCCAGGGTTTCGGGAACGGTTCCGGCAAGGCTCCGGGGACGCCCTTGCGAGATTCCGGAACGAGGGGGGGCACTTAATGTACACTGGGTAGCCCTGGTGGTTTTCGACTCGGGCACTCCGGCGCCAGGCATTTAGGAATAAAGACCCCGGTAACCGAATAGGATCACAAGACTTGCGGAGTCCAGGGTCGCCAAACAATGCGATTTCAATACGAATTATTGGCACGAAGAATTCAAAAAAACCATGGGGTGTCATTGAAATGTCTGGATTTTGTTACTGTTCTGACCAGAGCTCTGGAAGGCTGAAGCGTGCATTTGTTGTGGAAGCTCTAATCAAGTACTCCGACGGTTGGGCCTCGGATCTGAATCTCCCAAACGAATGTGGACGCAAACTCTTCGCCGTCCTTGTGAATGCAAAAATCCCCTTCCCGTCTCATCGTTTTCCTTTTCTGTTTCGCCCTGGCAAAGGCCGTCATCCCGCCCCCAGCTCTGCCTCCTCCCCGTCCTCCAGCTTCGTCTCCCCTATCCACGTCCTCCCCCGCTCCTGTTGCAAGGGCACGTAGGTCGATGTTTTTTCGGCGCCGTTGCCGCCACGGCCAGCATGGGAGCGTTCTCCGATGGCCAGATCGCAAGCCGCTGGGACAACCCCGCGGGCCAGGCCGTTGGGACTATCCCGCGGGTGGCCGGGGCGCGGAAGCAAGCCGTTGGGACAACTCCGCCGGTATCGAACTAGTCGCGGCCGCGTTCAGGCGTGAAGCAGCGCGAACCCCCGCTCCGCCGCGAGCTGGAACTCCCTGAGCGCCTTCCGCAGGGGTGCCAACGGCCCGCGCTCAAGGAACTCTCGCGTGGGTAGCCGCGGGATCAGCATGTTCCACATGCGCGTGGGGCAGGAGAATATGACGTAGACGTGCAGTCACCATTGCTCGTCCGAGAAGTCCGCGCGAGCAGCGTCCGCATCCTTGGCGCAGTCGATGGTGACGCCTTTGAGCCCCGAGCGGCGCACGAAGTGCGTCCCCGAGCTCTGCTCGCTGGGCCGTCAGCGCTTTCGGCTCCTGTAGCAGCAGTTTTGCGACCTCCGCCTCTGGCCCTCCCCCGCCCATCGCCGCCAGGCGCCGCGCCGTGCCACGAAGAGGCGCTGCGGTAGGACGCGCCACTTCCTCCACCGAGCCGAAAACATGGGGCAATAGGCGTTCAAAATGTTTGACGCCACCGACTCGACAAAACAAACGCTTTCCGCCACCAAACCCCCTTGAAAACGTAGGAGTTAAAGCTGTTTCCACCAGATCCCCATACTCCGCCCGAAACCTTCACGCGATTTTTCGGAAGCGAACAGCTTGGCTCCCGGTCGAAACTTCCTCGCCAATCGCCAACGGACGAGGATCCCACTCGAGACGTGTTTCGTATTCAAACCTCAGGAGCCCAAAACCGACGACACAACCTTCAGTTGCCCAGTCGGATTGATAACATGAGCTGCGGGCCCCATAAGAAGGGGGTTCCAAAGGGGGCTCCCGCCTGACACTTCCTGTCAGCGCACTGACAGACGAGGCTCCCGCCTGATATTTCCCCAGAACTCAAGCTTGAAGAAGCGCGCCAAGCAACGACACGTACAAGCTTTCGATGACATGGTCGGACCAAAAACGTGACTGCGGGCCCTTCATACTGCACCTGGAAGAAGCCCACGCCACGACCCTCGCATGTATCCGATGACCCACTCGGATTAATCCGCCGATCCGGCGTGTGAATTACAAGGAGCCTCAGCAAGAGCTTCAGCTCTTAGCCGAAGCAAGAGCTTCAGTTCTGCTTGGGGGGCGTCGCCGGGGTGGTTCTGCAGGGAAAGGGGAAGGGGGGGATCTTCCATCTGGCGTTTTCTTAACGGTTTGCGCATCCCCAGGATGTTTCGGGGGGCACCAGGGACCCCCCCAGGACTCTCCCCTCGGAACCCTCCCCAGACCCCCCCCAGGGGAAGGGGGGAGGGGGAGGGGGGGCGGTCCACCATCTGGCGTTCTCTTAACGATTTGCGCACCCCCAAGATGTTCCGGGGAGTCCCAGGGACCCTTTTCAGATCTAGCCGCTACCGCCCCCAGGACCTTTTCCTCGGAACCCTCCCCGAAACCCCCCGGGACCGCTCCAGGCACCCTCCCAGAGGGCACGTCAGCTCCAAAAAGGGCCCCCGACGACTCCAAGAGCACCTTCCCTCCCAAACAGCGTCCCCGACGACTCCAAGATCACCGAATCCGGAGCCCCACGGATCGGCGGCACTGGCCCGAGGCCATTACAATAAGATAAACTGAAGGGGCTCCCGCCCGAGACGTCCTTGCGGCTTTACTCACTGGCGAGGCTCCCGCTCGAGAACCCACCAAAATCAAGGGCGACGACATGTACATGGTTCCGATGGCCCGCTCGGACCAATAACATGAGCTGCGGGCCCCCACGGAGAGAGTTCCCGCGTGACACTTCCTCGCAATTCACTAACAGATGAGATTCCCGCCTCAGACATCCTCCATACTCAAGCTTCCGACGGTTAGACGCTTCCGGTAAACAGCTCGGATTACGAACATCACCTGCAGGACACATGGGGGGGCCGCATCGCACAGTTCCGCGAATCGGTTCGTGCCCAGATTGTACCACGCCTCTCGAACCTCGGATCACGTCACGTCGAATCCTGGCCTGCTGCGCCAGTGTTCGCGGCAGCCGCCGCGGCCACTGCAGGGAAGCGAATGCTTCGCGGGCTTGACCACGTGCACTGGAACCCGCGGCGCGAAACGCGGGTTCCGTTACTATGAAAAGATGGGAGGAGCCAGTTCCTTGAAAACAGATGCAACTTGCGCCAAACGCCGGCAGCGTGGCATGTGATTTCAAATGAGCCTAAAAGTAACATCACAATTCTGCTGCTACACAGATACTGCAGTCACACTAACGTACACGGCTGGCCACGATGGAACGCTACAATCTAAAACGTATTCCTCCTCCTGCTCCTCCTCCGCCTCCCTTTCCTCCTCCCCCTCCTTATCCTCCTCCTCCTCCTCCTTATTATCCTCCTCCTTTTCCTCCTCCTCCTCCTCCTCCTCCTCTTCCTCCTCCTCCTCCTCCTCCTCCTCTTCCTCCTCCCCCTCCTCCTCCTCCTCCTCCTCCTCCTCCTCCTCCTCCTCCCGATCCGCCAACGCGCGGCGGCAGCGGCGGAGGCGCAGAGGCCCCTGCCCCCCTGTCCCCGAGCAGACGGGTGGCAGCCGCGCAGCAGGCGGCCGCGGCTGGACCCCGCGGGGCCTTGATGTCCTCGGCGGAGCGGCGGCTCTTGAACCCCTTGGCCTCGAGGGGGCGGGGGGCGGGACGCGGGAGCGGCACGGGGGCGGGGGCAAGGACGGACAGCAGGAGCAGAGCATCCCCGCCAGGCTGACCGCCCGGGCTCCGGCCGATGCACCGGCAGCGCTGGGTCCCCTCGCCAGCGCGGTCGCCCGCCAACGCGCCTCTCCATCTCCTCACTCCCTCGATCTCTCGTTCTATCTCTCGATATATGTAAGTACATATATATATATATATGTATATGTATACATATAAACGTATGTATATCGATTGGCCTATATATATATGTATGTATCACTCGTGCTCCATTGGACAGCTCACACGGCTCAGCTCCATGAGGCCTCCAGCTCATCGATTTCCTCTCAAGTCATCCAGACGATGCCGCGTGCATTTGGTTGCCGTGGCCGCGCATGGGACGGTTGCGAATCATGATTTCAGTCTGTCATGCGCTGTGAATCGGGGCACTCCCCATAAATCCTCGTAGTCGGAAGTGTGGCACGCAAGTAACAAACGTTGGCGTGACAAGTGGCATTCGAAATACGATCAGGATAAAACGGAGCAGGAGCAGGAGGGGACGAGGGAGACAAAGCAGGCGCAACAGCACGAGAGGATCGAGGCGAAGGAGCGAGCGGAGAGCACAAAACAACAGGACAGGTTGCCTTCACTTCCGGCTCCTGTCTGAACGGAGATTCCTCACGGTCGACTTCGCGATATAGGTATCCACCCTCGGGGGCAAGCTTTGCGGATCCCGCCGAAGGTGCTGTCCACCGAAGCGGGATGGAGCGGACGAGGCCCTGGCCCATCGGGATCCACATGTCTCCGGCGAGATTTCCCCAGCGACATCGCGATCATGACGAGGAGGGGCCCCAGCGTTACGACGATCGGCGTCGGCATGGAAATCACAACAGGCTGCTCCGCGATCGGCAGGCTGATGAGCTCCACCAGGTTGGAGATGATGAGCGCCAGGCTCGGCAGCACGAGTAGTTTCAGATTCACAGTCGGTGTGCACGTGTAGTAAAGGAGGCCGGTCACCATGCAGAGGAAAGCCACCGTCTGCAGAGCCACGGACGGGAAGAACATGCAGACGAAGATTACCGCCATCGGCTCCATGACCACCAGCACGCGCTTCGGAAACACGAGCGGCATGGACGTGCAAATCATGACGTTCGGCATGAGGGTGAACGCCGCAGGCAGCAGCACATGCATATGGAGGTTCACGGGCGGGTTGAACATGCGGGACAGTGCGAGCGCCGCACACAGCAGCACGATCATCACTTCCACCATCGGCAGCACGCACTTCGGAATTACGACCAGGCAGGACACGCAGTACGTGACGTCGGTCGTCGCCGGCACCACCATCATGATGAGGATGAACGCCACACTCAGCAGCACGGGCATATAGAAATTCGGGAGCGGCCAATAGGGGGGTGTCCAAGAGGGGGGGGTGCAAATCATGACCAGGGACGTAATGAAACAAGAAGAGGCGCCATGAGATCTGGGGGAATATCATGGCCCGCGCCATGAAATCCACCCCCCCTAGTCATCACCCCCCTCTTTTCCGCTCCTGGGAAATTCACGGCCGGGTTGAACAAGCAATCCAGCGCAGGCGCCGCCCTCAGCGGCACGATCTTCAGATGCGCGGACAGGTCGACCAGGTGGCGGGAGAGGGCCAGCACCATGCCGCACGGTGCGAGGGCCGCGTCCTCGAGTCTCCCCTGGGGCCCGTAGCCGTTGGAGGAAGCTGGCGACGCGGTACAGGTCGGCACGTGTGCGGTCCGGCCTTTGGCGCAATTTGAGAGAAGAAGAAAGAAGTTAACATATTGCAAGGATGCATCACCGGCTACATGTATGTCAGAACGCTCAGAATCATGTGCAAAAAATACACCAGAACGAGAGCGCACACGCCGAGGACCTCCGAAGTGGAACAGCGACCACGGACCTCTGGCACGCAAGTGGAAGTGCAACAGAGCCTCGCCGAGATGTCTGGGGAGGACCATCGGCAGCAGAAGGTGCAGTGGATGAGCGGCAGGTGGTAGTAGAACGAGCGGCTAGTGCGGAAGACCGTGCTGGGTGCCAGGCGGCGGCAGCAGGTCAGCCAGCTTCACTGTGCGCGCAGGAGTTGAAACAACATCCGCCGGATCCACTTGAAGGGGTATGTGGTGCTTGGCCTTGCCGTAGCCCGTGTTCTCGCGGAGGCAGTCCTTCAATTCAGTGTCGCTGAGCTGCTCCTTGGCGGCGAGGACGGCCTGACGCAGCGAGTGCGACCGCTGGCATGAAAGTTGTTGGGGTTCGTGGTGAAGGCTGAGCCCTCGAAGAACGCGTCTTGCACTGTGCGCCACTTGCTGAGGGACAGCGACGTGGCGGGCTCCTAGAGGGACGGGTTGAAGAAATCCACGCTCAGCGGCGCGAGCGCGAAGTTCAGCAAGTTTGGCCACACTGCGGCGGTGCACCTTGCAGGAAGTCACACTCAGGAACATTGGCAGACATCGCAACCAAAAGGCGTGTATGGGGCGTGCAGCAGCGCGTGAGGGGCCGCTACCTAACAAAAAAATGGTTTGATCCAAAATGGCTACGGAGGCCTACACATAGATATGTATATATACACACACACATCTATAGGTACGCATGTCGATATATGTATACATGTGTGCATGTGTAAAAGAAGAGAGAAAGAGAAATCGATGTATCGGCATACCAATGTACATGTATATATAATATGTGTGTATGAGTATGTTACGCTGGCATACGACATGATGTTATATATGTATGTACGTATACATATGAGTGTGTGCACGTGCATCGCGATGTGTATTATGTATATGTTTGTGTGAAAATGTGTCTACGTATCGCCCTCTACATTTTCTCTCTCGCTCTCTCTCTCTCTCTCTCTCTCTTACTCTCCATGTGTATACATATTTATATATATATATATATATGTGATCACGGGCTCCGGGCCCACGGCTCCCCCCCAAATGGGATGGGTCCCAGGGTCCTCGGGCCCCCCCACCAAGATGGGATGGGGGGGAGGAGGAGGAGGAGGAGGAGGAGGAGGAGGAGGAGGAGGAGGAGGAGGAGGAGGAGGAGGAGGAGGAGGACGACGACGACGACGGCGACGACGACGACGAAGACACCGTCCGCTCCGGCTCCCTGAAGCACTGGAACACAACGCCACACCCAGAAGGAGGCGACGACGGTGAAGACACCGTCGACGACGATGTTCCTGTTCCTCCTCCCCCCCTCCGCCTCTCCATCCCTCCCTCCTCGTTTTTGGCCCTCTCTTCCCTACCTTGCTCCCCCCTCCCGCTTCCTCTCCCCATATAGCCGCCACTCTCCGGGGGCAAAGGCTGAGGACGACGATGATGGCGAAGACGCCGACGATGAGGACGCGGACCCCTGACCACCGCACACCCAGGGGGGACCCCACACCACTCCCACAGGGAGGGGGGGGGCGGGGGGGCCACCACGCCACGCACACGCCCACAGGAGGGGGGGGGACCATCGCGCGGGAAAGGGGGGGCCCGATGGCATTAGCATTGGGGGGGAGCCAGGGGGGGGGGCCCAAACCCTTTGGGGGGGGGGGCCAAACCCTCGACCATATATACATGTACCTATACGAGCACCCTGCGGGTGATAAGGAGGTGAGGGGGGAGGAGGAACCAACGTCTCACTCAATCGATCTCGCTATCGATCTCACAATCGATCTCACATTCGATCTCACTATCGATATCACATTCGATCTCGCTATCGATCTCACTATCGATCTCACAATCGATCTCACAATCGATTTCACATTCGGTCTCACATTCGGTCTCACTGTCGATCTCACTATCGATCTCACAATCGATCTCACAATCGACGTCATCATCATCATCATCATCATCATCATCATCATCATCATCATCATCATCATCATCATCATCATCATCATCATCATCATCATCATCATCATCATCATCGCATCATCATCATCATCATCAGTCATCATCATCATCATCATCATCATCATCATCATCATCATCATCATCATTATCATCATCATCATCATCATCATCATCATCATCATCATCATCATCATCATCATCATCATCATCATCATCATCATCATCATCATCGCCATCATCAACATCGATCTCACAATCGATCTCACATTCGATCTCACTATCGATATCACTATCGATCTCGCTATCGATCTCACTATCGATCTCACAATCGATGTCACAATCGATCTCACATTCGGTCTCACATTGACGTCATCATCATCATCATCAACATCATTACATCATCATCATCATCATCATCAGCATCATCATCATCATCGCCATCATCAACATCATCATCACAATCATCATCATCACCATCATCATCATAATCATCGGGGACCATCACTATCGGAACACCGACGGGACACCGACGGGACACCGGCGGGACACCGCGCGCCACCGGCCGCCCGGAAGAGACACATTTGGTCCGGCCGCGCCTCAGCCGCAGGGACACCGACGGGACACCAGCGGGACACCGGCGGGACACCGCGCGCCACCGGCCGCCCGGAAGAGACACATTTGGTCCGGCCGCGCCTCAGCCACAGGAGACTTTCTCTCGCCCGCCCACGCAGCTTCGCCTCGCCCGCACGCACGGCACGCACGAACACGAAACCGAAATCGATTTCCCGGTAGGGGGGCTCTCCGTTCCACTTCGATCTCACCCCCTCACCTCCGATACCCATTCCTCTCTCCCCGTGGCCGTTTTGGCGCGGGCGCTCCTGGATTCGAAGGCCAGGCGCGCCCACGGAGTGCTCGTCGGGCGTGTCCCAGTGGCCCAGTGATCGGACTGTAGCGATGAGAAGATCGGGAAAAGCTTGCGGCTTGCATCTCGGAAGTCTGGCCTGAGCATATGTTGTCTATCTCTCTCTCTCTCTCTACTTTCTCTCTCGCTCTCTCGCCCTCTCTCTCTCTCTCTCTTGTCTCTCTTTCTCTCTCTCTCTCTCTCTCTCTCTCTCTCTCTATCTTTCTCTTTCTTGTCTCTCTCTCTCTCTCTCTTGTTTCTCTCTCTCTCTCTCTCTATCTATCTGTCTCTCTCTCTCTCTCTCGTCTCGTCTCTCTCTCTCTCTCTTCTCTCTCTCTCTCTCTCTCTCTCTCTATATATATATATATCTGCCTCTCTCTCTATCCCTGGGAGCGAGGAGGCGGCGACGCGCGGAGGGGGGGGGGCAGGAGAGGGTGCGCTGCCTGAGCCTGCGCTGCGCCCGCGGGCCCGCTCCACACGCCTCTCGACGCCAACGGGCACCCAGCGGCGACCAGCGCTCAGCGCGTGCGCCACGCGGCTCCCTTTAGGTCGGGCACGTCCTCCTACAGGCGGACATCAAAAGAACATCTTGAAATTGACACACACACACACAAATAGATAGAGAGAGATATTTATATATATATAGACATATCTATACACACACACACCTATTCACCATATACAGTTTAATTTCTACTGTCGTATATTCCTCCTGTGCAGGGACATGCCCGACGCAAGGCTTTTCTCTCTCTCTCTCTCTCTCTCTCTCGCCCTCTCTTTATCTGCCTTCTCCCCCGGTCTCCCCCCCCCCCCCCCTGCCTGACCTCCTCCCCCTCCTGCCCCCCCGTGGCCCCACTGCCCGCCCCGTCCAGCGCCCTTCCCCGGCCCTCCGACCCTCGTTCGCCTCCGCCCCCCTCCCCCCCCCTCTGCCCCCCCTCTCTCCCCGCCCCCACCCAGTGGGGGCCCGACCACAGGAAACTGCCCACGAGGCACCAAGCCCTGAGACCCCCAGGGCGTCCCCTGATTTATGGTGCGGGGAGGCCGCGCTGCCCGTGGCAAAACCATCGAAAACCAGGGAACCCATCGAAACCCAGAAACCATCAAAACCCATCGAACCCAAGAAACATGGCATTAGGGGGCCACATGCGAACCCTACCTCTGCCCCCTGCGATTTTTGAGGGGGAGGGTGGGGATTCTCTTTGCTCGGGAGCTCCCGAGCGAAGTGAACCCCATCCTCCCCCTCAGAAATCGTGGGGGGTAGGGGTAGGGTTCGCATCTGGCCCCCTATCAAAACCCATCGAACCCAAGAAACTTGGCATGGCTTCCACTGTATCCCCTTTGCTGCCCCTCCCGACTCTTCTCCGACACGCGATCCCCATCTCAGCGCCCCCCGCCCCCTCGGGAGGAGGAGGAGGAGGAGGAGGAGGAGGAGGAGGAGGAGAAGAACGAGGAGGAGGAGAGGAGGAGGAGGAGGGAGGAGGAGGAGGAGGAGGAGGAGGAGGAGGGGGGGAAGGAGGAGGAGGAGGAGGAGGAGCAGGAGGAGGAGGAGGAGGGAGGAGGAGGAGGAGGAGGAGGAGGAGGAGGAGAGGAGGAGGAGGAGGAGGAGGAGGAGGAGGAGGAGGAGGAGGACCCCACACCCAATGCCCGTCCTGTTTTCCGCCATCCCTTCACCTGCCCCTTCACTCGACCACGGAGAGGCGCTGTGCGCGCCGCGCTGGCCTTTCTCCCGCCGCCGGTGGTGCCAGGTGGAGGCTGGTACCTGGCGGGCCGCAGCTCCAGGCGGGCCCTCCCAGAGGTGATGGTTCGAGTCGGAGATCGACCACAGAATTGATGTACCCCGTGACTGTTTCTACTCGTAGAATCAGCGAGGAATGCGCAGTGTTCCAGAGGTCCGACTCGGCCTCCGGGGGGCCTCGCTGGGCCTCGGGACCGTCAAAGAACGGCTCAGGACGAAAAACTGGCCCTGTGGACGAGGTCCAGACTCCCAGAGCCTATGCATCGAAAACATTGCAGCAACTGGATGTCTGGGCTCGTATGTATGCGAACATCGTGCGTCTGTTTTCTGTGGCGTCGACGATGAAAAATCAACTTCGGGATAAATCAATTCTGTGGTCGATCTCCTACTCGGACAATGGAGGGAACCCTGCCCAGACCAAAGGGGAGAGGACGATCCAGGCTGTCCTTCTTCACGGCCGGTAGCAGGGCGGCCTGCTCAAAGTGGAGGTTGACGGCGAGTTTTTTTCCTCGGGGGGGCCTGTCGTAGCCCCCGGCTGGTCTTCGGCCTTCCGGCCAGGATGAAAAAAGGTCCTCTCGGATGGCCACCCCCTGGAGGACTTCTGCAGGACCGTCGGACTCCCTCTCCCTCTGTCTCTGTCTTTCTTTCTCTCTCCCTCAGTGGCGTGCGATCCTGCGCGGCCGGATCCTTCCTTCTCCGCGGGTACCGGTGCGCAGCTTCGCCCTGCCGCGCCCTGGCTGCTGCCATCCGACGCCGCGTGCCCCGCGACGCCGCCAGAAAGAGGTGCTGACTCGAAAGCGCCGGCCCGGTCGTCCTGTCCTGGATGGCCCGATCGTATCTTCCTTTGTTGGCTGGAAGGGCTCGACGTAGCCCACAGGCAGCTCCACCAGGCCGTCACCGCGTTGCACGGCGACGCTCTACTGCCACTGAAGATAATGGCGCGAGGCCAGGTATTTCAGAGGAGGAAGAAAAGGTACCGATACCGATACCCTTGCCTCGTTGTCCCCTTTTGGGCCTCCTGGGAGGCCCCCGTCGCCACCGCTGGATTCGCCTCGGAAGTTTGGTAAGAACGCACACCACCAGAGGTCCAGGGAGTAGCGGTATCGTTACCTTGTAGCAATCTCGGCGGTGGTCTGTAATGGTCCTGGGAACCGAGCTGTCCTCGGGGAGAGCTCGAGGGGGTCTGGATTCTCGATTGCTCGCCAGGATGACCGCAAGTTCGCCTCTTGTTCTTCAAGATGGATGCACACTTTTTTTGCGTCGGCGACGAGGCAGGGGTCGCCTGCGCTAGCGGAAAGGCCTGAACGGGGGCGCTGTTAGAGCGAATTGTGCCACCATGCAGGAGGGGGAAGAGGCGGAAGACGCGGCCGAAAGCGGGGGCGGAGGGAGCGAGCCGCCATGGATGCACACACACACACACACACACACACACACGTGAATAGCTCACGCCATACCAGGAGAGGGGAAGGTGCCGCGAGCGGGGGGCCACAATGCTTCACACCGTCGAGGCAGGTGCCGCGGCGCTCGCGATCTGCAAGCGACCCACCGTGCCACCTCGCCCGCAGGCGCCGCGGGTCGGCACCCAAAGCGCGGGCAGAGGAAGGCTGGCTCAGACAGCGGACGTCGTGCGCGGCTCTCTGGGCCCTGCACGCAGAAGGCATCTACACACCACCACCCTTCCTGGCCAGGGCCGTCTTGGGCCCGGGCATGGCGTGTACGCTTCCTGGCCGAGGCCAGCGGAAGGGTCTGTACACCATCGCGGGGCCCGGGGCGGCCCTGGCTGGGCACGGCGGTGTATAGATGGCGTCTGCGGACGCTGGGACCTCGCAGAACTCGCAGGCAGACATGCCCTGCATCAGCAGCAGCAGCCCAGAGGAGTCACACTGGCCACAGTGCATGGTCGCCTTGCCGCACACTGCACGGCCTGCGGCCAAGCTCGCTCCGCACCTCGTCCGGGGTAGCCAGGGCGCCGTGCAGCCAGCAGCAGGTGCCATTCGGCATCGGAACGTTGCACTGAATGAGCAAATACGACAGCGTTAGGACCTGCGTGCTCAGCCGCGTCGGCTCGCACTGCGGGTGGACCAACTGCGGGTTGGCCAGCTGCCCTTGCTCTGTCCCAGGACTGCTGGGCAGCTTCGCCGCGGCGCCATCTGTGACCCTTGGGGCACTGGGGGCAAAAACCTGGAGCCCATGCCGGGCACGAATGAGCTGATGCTGGAGCTGCTGGCTTGCCTCACCTCCCCTACGCCGGTGCACTCCGTGAGACCCCTGCACGCTGGGTCGTCCGAATCGCCTCCTTCGGCGGCACCAGGCGGCTTCGTGCCAGGCGACTTCGTGCCCCCGATGCTGGCTTTTCCAGGTGTGAGAGCCTCCACCGCCGTGTCCATCACCCCGCCCGCCGCCTCTTTCAGCACAGTTCGACTGGGGGATCGACTACGGAATTGATTTACCCCAAAATTGACTTTCACGTCGACTCTTCAACAAAAACACGTCAACCGTTCGTAGACCTGCGAAAGCTCTACGAACTGCCCGTGGATTCGACAAGAAAACTCAATTTTTGGGGCAAGCCAATTCTGTAGTCGATCTCCTACTCGAACAGGGGTCAACTCGCGGCTCACCTGCTGGGCCGCGGGGCGCAGGGCCGGCAGCGGCGCGGCGCACTGCTCCAGCACTGGCCGGCAGACCCGTGCGCGCGAGCCCGCCGGCGGGCCCGGGCCACGGCGGGCTCGGCGACCGGCCGTGCCTCGGCCGCTGCAGCACCCGCTCGGCGCTCGTGGCCTCCACGGGCACGCTCCCTGCCACGATTCAGGAGGGAAAGAAACACACAGACACAACTAATCGTCGATTCCCAGAATAAGATTGGAAAATATGGGAAGTAGGGGGGGGAAGACAAAAACCCAGAAAATATCGGAAAATATGGGGAATCCTTTTATTTGTGTGTATTTATTTGTGTCCCAGGGCCCCTTCAACGATGCTCCGTCGCCTCGCGTGCCTCGCAGCACCCGCAGCTGCACACGGTTGGGCCCTCCGCCCGGATGGTGTCGCCGTCCTTCGGGCCCGGCACGGGCCTCCCGAGGCCCGGATCGAGGAGCAAGTCGAACGGGGCCGGGCATTGTAGCAAACATGCTCGACGCCGCGATCCCCATGTGTGCACCTGCTGTCCAGCGGCTTCGCCCACGCGGGTGCGTGCGGCCAGGCTGGCTGGCGGAACGTTTCAGCACTGTCCGATCGTAGCCACACGACAGACCGCGGCACCCAGGAGGGGGCCTCATGACATGCGATCCCTGAGCATCGTTTCGCCGATCCCTATCCCCACGGGCGTGGCATGGGCCCAGCTGGCCGAACTGCCCCCCTAGATGGGGATGTGGGCTGTTCTCTTCAGATTTCGAAGGGTGCACTCGGGTTTCGAGGGTATATATTATCCCTATATGGGGTGGTAGGATGGTGGGGATCGGGATGGGAGAGGAAGAGAAATGTTGAGGAGGAGGAGGAGGAGGAGGAGGAGGAGGAGGAGGAGGAGGAGGAGGAGGAAGAGGGGGATAGGGATCGGTTGAACGGTACTGGATCCCCCCACCCCATGCGGGGGGGGAGGGGGGGAAACGGGGCTCGTCGTGGCAGGGATCGAAAAATCGAGCGCTCCGCCCCAAGGGGCTCCCAGGAGGCCCCCAAGAGGCGCCCCAAGAGGCACCAGGGGGCCCCCAAGAGGTCCCCAAGAGCCCCCCCCCCAAAGAGGCCCCCAAGAGGCCCAAAAGAGGCCCCAAAAGAGGCCCCCAAACGGCCCCCAGTAGGCGCCCACACTGCCTCCAAGAAGGCCCCGAAGCCTCCCACGAGATCCCCAAACAAACATCCAATACGCTTCATACCCACAACCCTGGCACGGGGGGGGGATGGGCCGAACGCTATAAAAAAACGCCGCCCCCTATTGATTCATCGTAGGGGTGGCTGGCGTGCTGAACCCTTTCGATTTTGGTGTTGGTTTTTTTTTTCCAGAAACTCCCCATGTGGCTTCGGCCCGTCCCGCTGGCCACCCGAAAAGATTGCCCAGGACGTCACCCCAAAAAAATCCTCCAAGACGGCTCAAGATGACCTCCAAAATGGCCACGTTGGCCCAAGATGGCCTCCAAGATGGTCCAAGATGGCCTCCAAGTCCGCCCAAGATGGTCCAAGACGGCCTCCAGGACGGCCCAAGAGAGTCCAAGATTCCTCCAAGGTCGCCCGAGAAGCCTCCAAGACGGCCCAACACGACCCAAGAGGCCTCCAAGAGGTCTTCCAGGAGGGCCCGAAGAGGCCAAAGTAAGTGATTTTCGTTCGGTGTTTGAAAGATTTTGGCATTTGCTTCTTCTCGGCAGTCCGACGGCTGAAGAAGCCCCCAAGATCGCCCCAAGATCGCCCACGAGGCCTCCAAGATGGCCCCATGACGGCCCCAGAGGCCCCCAAGACGGCCCCAAGAGGGCCCCAAGACGGGCCAAGAGGCCTCCAAGACGCCCAAAATGGCCTCCAAGACGGCCCCGAAGCGCCCCAAGAGGGCAGCAAGCCGGTTCGGAGAGGCCCCCAAGACGGCTCCCGACGGCGTCAGACAGGCCAGGAACGCCCTAAGACGGCCAAAGAGGCCCCGGAGAAGTCCCAAAAAAGGCCCCAAGAGGCCCTCAAGAGGCTCCAAGAGAGCCCAAGATAGCACCAACATGGCCTCCAAGACGGTCCCAAGATGGCCCAATCGAGCCCAAGAGTGCCTCAAGAGGCTCCGAAGAGGCCTCCTCTCCCTTCTCGTATTTCCTCCTTCTCCTCCTCCTCCTCTTCCTCTTCCGCCCCCACGTGTTCCCCGAAGGCTTTCCAAACCGGCTCGGGGAGCACATGGTCCGATAGCTTGGCAGGCCTCTGGCCACAACGTTCGGCCACAGAGGCGCTTCCGAAAGGGCAGGGGGCGGCGGTGATTCGCCGTAGGCGTCTTCGATGCAGATGCACCGCTTCATGGCTGGGCCCATCCTGAAGCCAGCAGCGGTGTATACGCCACGCCCTCGTGGCTTGGCCGGGAGGGCGTATGCACAGCTCATGTGCTCGGGATGGGCCTGGCCAGGGAGCAGTGGATGTGCACAGATCTCATCGCCCGACCTCGAGCGAATGGCCCTTCCAAAAGTTACACTCCAGAAACTTGGCTGCCTCTGAACGAAAGAAAGGATGGGTTGGAGGCGGCCGAAGGGACCGAGCTGGAAAGGCCTTGAAAATATTTGTCAGGACTGAAGGTAAGGGCGAACCCGCTCAAGGTCAACCCACGGACCCTTCCCGGGGTCCACCTGGTGCAGTTTTTCACGGCACCGAACACGAACCCCGCGGCCGGACAAACACACAAATACCTTCGCGGACCCAGAACATCGAACCTCGCCCCCCCCCCCCCCCCCCCGGGACAAGGTAGGCCCCCCCTGGGACAGAGTAATTAGGCCCCCCCCCCTGGGACAGAGTAGGCCCCCCCCCATGGGAGGGACAAGGTGGCCCACCCGCCCCAGACAGAGTAGCCCCCCCCCCCCCTGGGACAGAGCAGGCCCTCCCCATGGGACGAGGTAGGCCCCTCCCTGAGACAGAGTAGCCCCACCTGGGACAGAGTAGGCCCCAACACCCCTGGGACAGAGTGGGCCCCCCCCCTGGGACAGAGTAGGCCCCCCCCCCTGGGACAAAGGTAGGCCCCTCCCTGGGACAAAGGCGGGCCCCTCCCTGGGACAAAGTAGGCCCCACCCCTGGAACGGAGTGGGCCCCCCGCCCTCCCTGGTACAGGGCAGGCCCCCCCTCATCGGAGTGCGGACGCGGGACGGGGGAGGCCCCTCCCCCCTCCTCCCTCCTCCTCCCTCCCCCTCCTCCCTCCCCCTCATCCTCCCTCACCCTGCTCCCTCCCCCTCCTCCATCCTCCTCCCTCCCCCCAGGGCATCATCGTCGTGGCCGCCACCGTCGCCGTCGCCGTCGTCGTCCAGACCACCTCCCCTTACTCCTCCCCCTCCTCCGCTAGCCTCGGCCGATCCGAACCGGCCGAACCGAACCGAACCAGCCAGGCTGGACCGGCCGAACTGGACCGGCCACGCCACTCGAACCGGACCGGCTGGACCAAACCAGACGACGTTCTGAACCAGACCAGCTGAGCCAGCCCGAAAGCACACCGGACCGGACCGAACCGGACCGAACCAGGGGACTTGAAATCGCGCAGGGGAGCGGGATCTTGATGCTGCGGCCGCGCGCGCAGCAGCGGCGCGGCGGAGGCGGCCAGCTCTGAAACCGAGGGGGCCGTCGGTCAAAGTGCGAGGAGGGGAACAGGAGGCAGAGGCAACACACTTTTAGCGTCGCGGCCACACGCGCAGCAGCGCAGTGGAGTCGAAGCCTGGCGAAAGCGAGAACGCGCGGGCTGACCCAGCTCCGGCGGCGAGAAATGCCGGGTCCACACATGGGGCACCACGCGACATGACTCGGGAAGGGGCCGGTTGCGAGGGGGTGGAGAGGGGGGAACGACCACAGGGGCGGGGAAGTCGATGAGCGAGAAATGAACACGTGAGACGAGGCGTGGACGGTGCAAGTGGGACATGCAAAGGCAACACACGCAGTGAGGGCGTCCCTACAGGGAGCCAGGGCACCCAGAGGAGCTGCCGTCGACGAAGCTCTGCACCTGGCTGAAATCGTCCTCCACCGACTTCTTCTCCCCCGCGGCCACCTGCCAACGAGCCACCACACCACCTCCTCCTCCTCCTCCTCCTCCTCCTCCTC